ATATGACTAGCAGTGTAGCTGCATACAGCCTGTGGCCTGTCACCGTCTTGTACACCACTACTGATCTTTTAATCGTTGACAGGGAGAAAGTGTCTGATCTTTTTCAAGGGCAAGGTTTCCCTTCTACAGCTGAAGACTCAGGAGATGCTGATTTTCAGCGTAAGCGCAAATTCATCAGCAATTTTAATTTGGGTTTATATGGAGCACCCTGGCTTTGACTGGATTCCTAGTGGCTGCAAGAGTGCACCCATCTGGAGCTTGTTGCAGTATGAATCTAATTACGTGGTTAGTAGAACTGTTCAAAAACATGACATTTCTGAACAGCAGGGACTTCCAATATTTGGATCTTTGTTTCAAACAAGGAAAAAAAACTCCACATTTTAATTTTGTTTTCCTACAAATAAAATGTTCTAACAATTGTATTCTGAAAAAATTGTGCTGTGATATCCCTTTTCTCTCTTCCTTCCAAAAATCATGTTGTCAGTAAGGTTATTTTTCTTCCAGAAAAAGTCTGTGCCATTCAACTTCATTGAATATCAAAATCTTAGAATAAATAAATATAAAATAAACATTGAATATTATATTAAATTTAAAAATATGGAATATGTAATTTTAAATTAAACAGAAGATTAAAAATAGAGGGCATCTACAATAAAATATGTCTGCAAATAAAACTTCAGAGCTTTAGCAATGTCTTTAGAAATTGTCTTTATATATACCCAGAAAGTATTCTTTAGGAAATTCCTGCAACAACCTATTTATAACTAACTTTTATGATCCTGCTTATGTTTGTAAATATGGGTACATGCTTGCAGGCATCAGGGTGTACCTGTTCTCCTAGGGTCTGTTAGTTACTTTCAGAAATGGGTTCCTTTAAAAATCATTCTATATTGTAATCTCTTTATCTGATCTATTAAAATTGTTAAGATTTTTTTTCTTTCGCGACTATTAAAATAAATAGGCAACATTATCACACAATGATGACTTTTTCTTCCTGCTATTTGCGTACTTCCCAAGACTCGAAAGAAGTTGGTCAGTTTTCAGAGAAGTGATGAAAATAATGTGTATAGTCCTGTCAGTCTTTATTCAGCACTCGCTGTTTCTCTTGGAACTGAAAGCTTCAGCCTGAAAATTAAGTGGCTCTGGGCACCAGCATGAGGTTCCTGAATGTGTCCTTTGCAGATAGTCTATAAGTGCTCTGAGAATGGTCTGTTGCAGTATCTGACTTCTGCGTCCTTCTCCATGACTCTGGAGAAATGGGGAGCTTACTCACCCCTAAAATATTGAAAGGAAGTTATTCACAATCTTTTGAAGCTCTGCTCAGTTTTGGATCATATCTGAATCAAAACTTGCAGATAACTGAAGTCAGGCCCTGAGGTCTATTGTCAAGTCAACAGGTCTCCAGGTAGGTGTTAGACTTGCTCAGCCAGATTTAATTTGCAAGTTCTTAGGATATATAAAGGCTTGTCTGTATGTGTCTTGTGTACTCTTCTTAGAGATATCTGATCTGATTGGAATCCCTCTAGCATTAAAATGGACTCAAATCCATGGTTTGGTTAGCATTTTGCCCAACTTGAAAAATCTAGATGCAAGAGTACTCTCCTTGGTGTGAGGGAGATTTTATTTCTTCCTTAAATTTTCACTGGTCATATAGAAAATACGGTCTAAGATTGTCTTCTCTCTGCATTGTGATTCTCTGCAAAGCATTATGGTTTTCCACAATTGGTGTCAGTGGGAACTGGTTCATGTAACAAGTCTAGAGTATGCAGAAGACATCTTCTGTGATGCACAGAACTGTCTTTGTATTATATTAAGTGACCAGATTAATTTTACAAGAAGTATATCTGGTTTGGGCCGTATTTAACAGTTGGTGTCTATAATTACTGCAGGTAACACGCAATGTGATGACTGCAGTGTTGAGCTTGCCTCCGGGGGACATTTACAACCTTTCAGTGACTGCTTGTACGGAAAGAGGCAGCAATACTTCCCTGCCCCAGCTTGTGAAATTGGGTAAGAAATGCTTGTTTGTAAATTACAAACTCAATTCTCCTCTCATTTGACTATAAAAGTAACTCTGTCAGCAGATTCTTCCTCATTTCAGTGTCATGTACCTGTGACTACATTTCTTTTGCAAAGCTATAATTTTCACCTCACCTTGCTGTGAAGATTGTCTCATTCCCGTATGTGAAGCCATTCTCCTGAAACAGTATTACTCAAGAGGAGCCCGAGTGGCAGAATTTTCCTGTAAGTGGAAGTATGAGAGTGGAAATCCTTTAATCCCGTGCTGGGAGAACAATTCTGCTTCATATTTACCTCCCTAAGGTCTTGAACACAGGCAGAGCAACTCAGGTTTCACATCTGAACTTTTCACTACAAAGCAGAAGCTTCCTTGGTTTTGACAAGCCCGTTTCTGGGTCTGCACTCTGCCACCTGGTCTGGTTTCCCGTCTCCTCTCCTCTCTCACTGGACACCTTCATAGTCTTCCAACAGCAAAAATATACCATTAAATACAAATCAATGACAGTAACCTTTACAAAAGCAGATTCATGACTGAGGAGCGCAGCATCATTCTAAAAGAAATACGTGTAATCTACTCAAAGAAACAAAAAAAAGACTTGAGAATTTAATCCTTAAGGTAAGACTTTGAAATGTAACTTTCTGCCTAACATCCTCCTTCATGAGGAAGACTGGACATTATGCCATTGTACCTTACAAGATTTTACTTCAGTTTTGCACGCATGCAGAATTGTTGAGCCCTAAGCACTTAAAGCTGTGAAATTTCAAAGCGTGCATAACTGCTTTTGCAGGCATTAACTCCATTGTGAAAGTGGTTAAAGAAGAGTTAGTATTCAAACTGGCCTATATTCTCTATATGCATAATAGACCTTTACTGAGTGACAGTGAAAGAAGTGAATTTAAAGGCCTATATAAGTTCTAATTGAATTAGAGGTCTTGAAGCAATCACTGTCTTTGTCTTCCTCAGTAGTTCTTACTCAAATCTCTTAAAGAGTGCTGGAGCAAGCAGTACAGCCATAAGAATCTGAAGTTCTTCCAGGTCTTTTCACCAAAGGGGATATTTGAAAGATCTAGACAAATTCCATGGATTTTCCCTTCCCTATGCAAGTCCTGCCCAGTGTTTTCCTAATGCCTTGTGTCTGTGCACAGACTTATTTGTGTGTGTTTGTTCCCAGGACTGAGTGGGTGGTTATGTGAGGGTGAGTATATACCCCTGCTGCCATTGTCCAAGTATTTCAAAATATCAGCTAACTTTATCTTTGAGACAGGTCCACAAATGACATGTATTGTTCATGTTGTACAACCTGAAGCCTAGTTGTATCTTCCTGTTCTGTGTTTTTGGGCCGGCAGGCTCCTATTGAACTGGTATCGTTACTTTGCTCTTGCTCTTTCATTGACAACAAAGAGAAGGTGGAATGGATTCTGTTTTGATAAATCACTTCTAGACTTCTGGGTGTGGGGTTTTTGTTGGTTTGGTTTTTGTGGGTTTTTTCTATTGTTTACAGTTTGAATAGACAATAGTAAGGATATTTTACCAGAGGTTTTCCTTCTCTCTGTTTCTGAGGGAGCAATGGGAGTTGTAATTAGCAGTAGTGAGAACTGACTCTAAGTGATAGACGACTCAGCACTTGGCAGTCACTTATTTTTCCTGCCAAATATTCTTCCCTCTATGATGTTTGCTTCATACTGGCAACTTTCCACTTGCATAAAAATCAAGCCATTTGCTGCAGGCAAAAGGAGAATTTGCTTGGGATGCTGCCCAAATGCAAAACTTGTATTTTAATTGAGGCCATTTTTTTACCTGGAGTGAGGGATGAAATGTGTTTCTGAATCCAAGAGCAGATATATGGGTGTAATTAAGGGAGAGGGATGCTTTCCTATGTACTACTGGGACAACATGTAAGCTGAAATCCCCGTGAGACAGAAGAAGCCACATTTAGTGTGCCTCAGTCCCTACCCTGCTCTCTTCAACTCTCTCCCTAATGCCAACAGAACTTTGGCAGCCTACAACCATAGAATACTGATCTGATTATCTGAGGATTAGATATGTCTCCAAAATGTCTATCACCACTTGAGCAAGTCCTTTGTGCCAAGTTTTTTTGTAGTGGATTTTACGTATCACATCCACGTTCCTTTGACAGTATCTCACAGAATAAAAATAACAAATTATTTGTGAAGGGAAAAAATAAGAGAAAAATGTTCTTGTAGATAGTACATGGTACATAGTGTGTCAGGATCCTGGAATCAGGTCATTGTTTGAGAATTGCAACTTTCATTACACATCCATAGATTAGGAAATCTGAAAACTCTGGAGAACAGCTCAGAAATGTGCAACCCAAACTTTGCACTTTGAAGGCAAACCAAAGGAGCCCAGGATGCCTGACGCGTTGAAAGCCAGGGATTGCCAGTACCTGTCATGTGAAGTCTTCAGGATGAAAATTGGGATCAAGCCTTGTCTTTAAATAGTCTTGGGGAAAAAAGTACGTCTTGTCTTAACACCAAGCTTGGGCTGTTTTCTTGTCTCCTGGCTCCTCAAGGTTTCCTCTCCTGTTCTGTGCTTTCCATTGTCCAGGTTGGTTCGGGAGGGATGCAGTGAGGGGTGGCCTCCGTTGGAGTAACGAATGGCCTCCCGCAGGCCGCTGCCTGCCAGGCCCCACGGGTCTATGAGCAGGGAGGTGGCCCTGGAGGCAGCCGCTGAGGTCACCCCACACAGGGCTGGTGGCACTGGGTGCAGACCCTTGTCTGAGTTTCACGGCTTTGGTCTTGCTCCCCCCTGAAAATAGAGGCGGATGTGCGAGGGGATGTCTCTGTCCTGCGGGTATCTCCGATGCCATCACTCCCAGGAGACCCCCAATATCCCTCCTGTCACGGAGTTCATCTCCTCATCATGTAGGAACCCTGGTACCTTGTATATGTTTGTCCATTGTCAGTTCACCTGCCACAACAGCAACAAAAATCAAAGCAATAAACTGAAGACTCCTGAGATCTAGACCTCTGCATTCAGTGAGGAGAGAAAATTCCTGCAGCTAACTGAAACAAGTGCAGACTCAATGGCCCTTAAATGTCCGCCTGGGGAAAGAAAAAGACTACAAGATTTTTATTTTTTTTTAAATTTCTAATTGACTAAATATTTCCTCTGCTACAATTAAATGAACCTAGATGGCCTTTGCTTGTGGGAAGCTGCTTCTTTATCATCTCCTGGGGTCAGGCCTTGTGAATAAAAGCTTTCTCAGGCCAAATGCGTTGCTAACAGCCATCTTCCAAAAGGGTTTCTGCTGGCATCATTCTATTAATAGAATACGCTGATCATCCTCAAACAAGGGCTCTGCTGAAAAGGGAAGTGAAGTTATTATCCAACTGTCTCAATAGAGAACAGTTTAAATAGAGAAGAAAAACCACGACACTTCATCATCTTCCCATTTTACAGTGGTAGTTTATCATCATGAGAGGCAAGGCTTTACATTGGCAGGCTTTATCTGAAGGAAATGAAAGATACAAATGCATCAGGCATTGCTTTCATTTTTGTTCGAGGCTTCCTCTTCTCAGTTATCTGGAAACTTAAAGATAAGGTTAATAAAAGGAGATTTTTCTCTTAACCAGAACCAGCCCCTCCAAAATCTCTGTTTGCTGTCAACAAGACTCAGACCTCTGTGACTCTGCTGTGGGTGGAAGAAGGAGTGGCTGATTTCTTTGAAGTCTACTGCCAGGAGGCTGGATCTGGTCAGGAAACAAAAGTCCAGGTATGTAAGTGTCTCTGGTTTCTGCTCTTCATCTCTGAAACTGAGACTGGGCCTTGCATCTTTCTGGTTTGGTGCCTGCTGCTTAGCATTTGTGTGTAAAACCCAATGACAATTTATGCTCAGTACACAAGTTAGATCATTAAACCAAATGTGATAAGGTGGTTCATAATTAAAGCTTTAAAAGCTAAACTACTAAAGCATTTCAAATACTAAAATATTTTGTTATTTTGCAATATTAATATTGGCTTCTGTCTTATTGACAAGATTATGACTAGTTAGACAGAAGCTGTGTGCATCCGACAGAGTGTCAGTCTTTGGCTACTCATGAAAATGGCTCTAATATATTGTGCAAAACCTAAAAGGCCACAAAACTAAGGGAATGTCTTTCTCTCTGCCCAGTTAGGTACCTGTGCTCAAAGGCCACCTGAATACCTGAGTGTTTAGATGGGTAATGTCGTTCAGTGAAGAATAGAGCAGTAGTAGTTTTAATTCTTGACATTCAATACTGTGCAACATATGAGGCTTACTCTGTGGTTAGCTGATAGCATAGTGAAATCACTGTGATTATATGCCATTAAACATAATTCTCTCATGTGGACTGTCACACATAATGGGGAATCATGCAGAAAAAAGTAAAAAAATAACCCGCTCAGACCGCTGATTATCACAAAAGTGGCATATGCACTCTTTAATCCTATGTAAGACCAGTCTGAATTATTTAATGTTCTTTTTAAATTCATAAAGGCACTGATTAAAGGAAAAAAAAAAGTTTATATGCACTTTAATCTTTTGGATAGTTTGGATTCCACGTCTAGATTCCTGCTTTTTTCACAGTGAATAGCTAAAGATTGGGAAGTCATTATCCACTTAGCAGAGATTCAAAATAATGATGTGATCAGGTAAGGAAGGTACCACAGGATTTGCAGCTCTAGTGGAGAGCAGATCTGCTTTAAAAACATCAGGAAAAGACTGCTCCATTTGGCAGGAGCTTCAGTGGGTTTCTCGATTGTTGACATGAACATCTGGCACTGGGAAATGCACAGAGATTGTCAGCTCACTTCTCATTAGATTTGTCACTCTCTTTTCTGTCTCTTTGAAAAAAGGCCCCTTTTGAACAGTAAAAAGGGATGCTTTCCCATTAGACTGGTGAATATTCTTTGTTTGTGATTTTCCATGCTAATTACATGAAAAATTTTGTCCCTTTCCTCCATTTTTAAGTCAGCAAAATGAAAAGCAATAGCTTTTTGGGTTTGAATATCTTGATTTTGGTTGACTAATTTAAATTTCCCAGAGAGGAAAGTGGACAACATCCAGCCAAGTCCAATTGCCAAACTATGGCCCTTACTTTCAGCTCATGGAATAAGCCTTCTCCCTTAACACTCACGTACGTGTGATTTAATCTGTGTAACATACCTCAGAATTGCACTGCAACAAGCACCCTTGCTAGCCTGGAAGAAGCCTGTGCCTGACAACAGGCCACTGCAAAAATCCAGTGCTCGGGACTTGTTACAGCATCTCACCCTCCCCGTCTGGAGTGAGTTCATTCATAAAACCTCTCCTTGTTGCCTTTCTAAACCACTGTCTCAGTGTCTCTATTTTCACATCTGTAACCCACCCTTGGCTCTGCTGGAGAGTACAGAAAAGCCTCTGAGGACCTTCAGGAGCTGTATCTTTAAGTCAATGCATGTGTTATATTTGTTTTGTTTTGGTGTATCAGCATTTAAAAAAACACAAAAGTGTTTACCAGGAACATAGTAATTAAAAATTTGTATGAATGTTTTTAAGCTAGGAAAACTGAGGTATGGGATGTCTCATCATAGTTATTACCCAAAGGCTCTACCTTAGCTTTGTTTTTCACCGTGGCCACTCAAAAGGCTCACAGCTGTTCATATCCAGAGCAACTGCCTCAGAGGCAGAGGTGACACGTATCCATATGAGGGTGTGGAGATTGTGACTGCCTTGGCTGTACTTTGTTTTTCTCCTACCGGTGGGGTTTAGTAACCAGAGCTCATGAGCTCTGCCCACCTCTGGGGATGTCCCAGAGGTGACATTGCTTTCTCCCACCTAGCGTGTGCCTGACCAGCCCTCTCTGAGGCACCCTCCTGCCCTCCCCAAGGGGCCCTGGGGTGCTCTGGGCTGTTCCTGCTGCTGTTTTCAACCCTCTTCCTCTCACCTCTTCTGCCAGACTGCTGGGCTACCTGCCTATTTTGAAGGGCAGGCCCTGGTTACCTTCTGTGGGTTTTGAAGTTATGGTTTCTTTCACCAGATCTGACTTTACCTGGTCAAATCATAGAATCATTAAGATTGGAAAAGATCTCAAGGATCATCAAGTCCAACCCAACACCACCTAACTCACTAAACCATGTCCCTAAGCACCACATCTACACGTAAATATATGGGTGGAGAGGGGACCACTGACTTGTGCTCTTGCATTTAGAGGAAAGACAAACTTCTGTGTATTTTTCACCCTGTCTGCAGGAACCTGTCACTGTCTCTTCACATGTGGTGACCATTTCCAGCCTAACCCCTGCCACTTCCTACAACTGCAGTGTGACCACCTTCAGTCACAATAGCCCCAGCGTCCCCACTTTCATTGCAGTTTCTACCATGGGTAAGCAGCACTTCCCTGTGTTCTTTTTCCTCCTCCAGCTACAACATCTGTTTCTCCTTGCTTTCTAAAGCTGCTTTTGGTAATGCTGGCCCCAGGGGTTGTTAGTATCATGGAAAGGCTGCCAGATGTGGATGGGATAGGGAATCAGCTTTTAAAAGTCCTTAGAAAAATCCCCACCGGGAGGTTGACTTGGCAAAATATAAACTAGAGGCTCAATTCTCTACTGGCTTTTAGAAATCTGGGACCTAGTTTGTAGTGTCAAGGCTGAGCATCAGGGTGTTGCCTGATGACATTTATGGAGAACAATGTCTTCTCAGCCAAGCCCAAACAAGAGAAAAATCACATTTACAAGCTGCTAGGGTGAAAAATTGCTTTCTGCTTTTAGTGAAGAAGTGGAGATAGGGTGAGAGAGAGGAGAAGGGCCACTGCAGGATCTTGAGCAGTCACACCCCAAAGGGATAGCTTCCGATGGAGGTTCCCTGGGCGTGTTGTGAAGCCTGGTTCTATACTGACTCTG